GGCTCCCAGAACTGGATGCAGTACTCCAGCTGCGGCCTGACCAGTGCCGCATAGAGGGGGGGGATCACCTCCTTGGTCCTGCTTGAAATGCATCTGTGGATGCACGACAAGGTACAGTTGGCCTTCCTAGCCGCCTCCCCACACTGCCTAGCCATGTTGATCTTGGAGTCAATAATGACTCCAAGCTCCTTTTCCACCTCCGTGCTGACAAGAGGGGAGTTCCCCAGCCTGTAGGTATGGTGCCGGTTGTTCCTCCCCAGGTGCATCACCTTGCACTTGTCTGTGTTGAACCCCATCCTGTTCTCCTCCGCCCATCCTTGTAACCTGTCAAGGTCCGACTGTAGCCTGTTGCTCCCTTCTATTGTGCCCACATCCCCCCACATCTTGGTGTCATCAGCAAATTTGAACAGGGTGCTTTGCACCCCCTCATCCAAATCACTGATGAAGATGTTGAACAGGGCGGGCCCGAGGACCGAGCCCTGCGGGACCCCACTGCCCATGTCCTTCCAGGCCGAGAAGGACCCATCCACTACCACCCTCTGGGTGCGGCTCTCTAGCCAGTTGGCGACCCATTGGACTGTGTGGGTGTCTACGCCACAGTCCCCCAGTTTCCTAATGAGAACGGGGTGAGAGACAGTGTCGAAAGCCTTCCGGAAGTCCAGGAAGACTATATCCACTGCTACCCCTGCATCCAATGATTTAGTGACCTGATCGTAGAAGGCCACCAGGTTGGTCTGACATGACCTGCCGCTGATGAACCCGTGCTGGTTGCCCCTGAGCATGCATTTCCCTGCTGGCCCCTCCTGGATGTGTGCCAGAATAATTTTCTTGAACAGCTTGCCCAGGATCGAGGTAAGACTGACTGGCCTATAGTTTCCCGGGTCCTCCTTCCTCCCCTTTTTGAAGATGGGGACCACGTTGGCCCTCTTCCAGTCCTCCGGCACCTCTCCAGAGCACCACGAGTGCTCATAAAGCTGCGCCAGGGGACTCGCAATGACCCCGGCCAGTTCCTTTAGAACTCTAGGGTGGAGATCATCCGGACCGGCTGACTTAAAAACGTCCAGCCCCTCCAGCAGCTCCCTAACTAGATCCTCACTTACCCTGGGCTCAGGTGTGCCTCCCTCGGGGCCCGATGGGGGCCTAGCAGGGAGGTGGCAGTTCTGGTCCTTACTGAGGAAGACAGAGGCAAAGAAATCATTAAATACGTTGCTTTGTTGTCTGGCGTGACAACCAGATTCCCCGTCGCGTCCTGCAAGGGCCCCACATTACCCGGGGCCTTCTTTTTACTCCCTATGTATTTAAAAAAGGACTTCTTGTTGTCCTTAATCCGGGAAGCTAGTCCCAGTTCCATCTCTGCCTTGGCCTTCCTAACTACCCCCCTACACCCCCGAGCAACTGCCGAATAGTCCTCCTTGGTGATGACCCCTCCTTTCCATTGGGAGTAAGCCTCCTTTTTAGCAAGGAGACATTCCCGGATGTTTTTGGTGAGCCATGGCAGCTTGTATGCTCTCCTGCCCCCTTTGATCCTTGTCGGGACTACCTTCTTTTGGGCTTGGAGGATCGTCTCCTTTAGGATCACAGCTTTCTGTGATCCTAAAACACAGCCTGGAAATCTTTACAAGACAGCCTGAGGCATCCTTTGCATCCCAGGGCACCATGCTGTTTATAAACACAGCAGCAGCAAGTGGCTTTTCCAAGGGTGATTTAGATGAGAAGTGCGGGGAGGAAACAAGTCCGACCTCCAGCCTGGAGCCCAAGAGGGAAGTCAATTTGGCTCAGAGTCCCCTTGGAGGAAGCTCACCATTTTCTGCTTCTTATCTTTTCAGTGTTTTTCCAACTATTTCTTGAAAACTCAGTGTCCAAGTGTTAGGGGCAGGTTCAGGTTTGAAAACTGGAACCCATGGTCCCATTCTCCTGCATCTGTGAACAGTCCAGACCACTCTCTCTCTCTCTAACTGGTGCACAGAAGCAGCAGAGGAGCAGCGCACGCAGCATGACGACGCTCCCTGTACCACAACGTGCCACGTCTCCTCTTTTAAGGACAAGGAAGAGCGCTAACCTGCAGGCAGCTCCCATCCCAGCTGACAACATTGCTATGGCAACAGCACCGGTCTCCCTAGCAGCATCAGGAAAAATGTGGTGGAGAAAACAGGGAAGCGGAAGTTCAGCCCCCAGACTCTGGGAGCTCCAGCTCGTGCCAAGATCCAGAGAAGGGGCAAGGCCAATACTCAGGCTGCACGATCTTAACCACCCAACTGCCAGCTGCCAGCTCTCCCAGTGCCATCTCCATGTCCTAGCTTTGTTCTAGGCAGTCTTCTCCTTTGCTGTCTCCCTTCCCAGTTCACACTGGAATGCCTCGCTACAGGAGGAGCTGTGCTTCACAGATGGTACCTTTTAGAAAGAAGGGAATGCTTGATCCCAGGCAAGTGTTGTAGAAGAGCCTGGGAGAATTTAGTGCAGAGAACAGGCAGCTTTAGAAGGCTCCGGGCATGACAGTCCCACTCCACTGGCTCAACGGCCAACCTGGGTTTGCTCCTCAAGAACCGATCAGTCACCCTGAGGTTTGTGCTGGCACCAGGGCAATCTGCATCACAAATGAAAGCACTGGTTCACATCTGGGGGGACACAAGTTCCTCTCCAGCCAAGTAGCACGGTGATACAGTCACCACATAGGCACACCTGCACCCTTCTCACATCCATGGGGGTGGGGAGGCAGAGGCAAAATAGCTGCACTGCAGTGGCTGAAGAGCAACTCATTTTTAAAAGTCTGGGGCACCTCAATTGAAGGCAAGGAGAAAGCAAACAAATAAGGCACAACAAATAGGCCACAAGGAAGGAGAGAGACATAAGCACTGAGATGTGGTGACTGGCCTACCAGAAGCCTCTGCCATCCCTGGGCAGACTGTTAGCCGAACTGCAGCAGAAGCAGTCAGTCTCTCAGAAGCCAGGCCTGGATGTTAAGGGGCTCTGTAATCCAGCCCAAGAAATGAACAGCTGCAGGGTGGGATTCCACATGGGGACCATCTCATCAACAGGGCTGGCAAGGCCAGTGGAAGATACAGAAACCCCCACACCAGCACTAAGATGCACATACCAAGGCTGACTGCCCACACCAGCCCAGGATGACTTGCATCCTGCCCTCATGCCTTTGTTCAGCAGAGCAGCAGAGCAAAAGTCCATCCTGTTCTTGTCAGGCTGGGGCATGGGTGTCTGAGCTCACATGCACTCCTCATACCAGCAAACATAAGGCCTTTGCACTACTGCATGATGTAGAAAGACGGGGACACTGTCCATTTCCTGACCAGATCCACAACCACCTGTTTTGCAGAACCATCCTCTTGGTCCTGTAGTCAATCTCCAAGTGTAACCTAGGAGCACAAGCTTCTTTCCCAGTGAGCTGAGCAGACCAAGGGACAAGGCTGAGAAGCCAGGTGTCTATCCACCGCATTAGCAGGACAGCTGAGTGAGGGCTTCCTGGCTTAACGGCATAAAACACGTCACATTCTGACAGCATCTGGACCCAGCACCCCTCAGCAGAATCCAGCTAATGGCTCTACTGCAACAGGAATCTGATCTCCCACCTACTCCAGCTACCGTCAAACCAGGGCCAACCAGGAAGGGGTAGGACAACCACAGTGAGTTCTCATTCACCATTTGGCCTCTTAGTTCCCAGAGGGCCACAGATTTAAAAGGAACGTACACTTCCAGCTCATGTAGCACTGGGGAATGCTCAGAGGCAAGGAGCCAGATGGATCCTGTCTCTAACCCAGCCGTTCTGCCTGGGGCATGCCTCACCAGGAAGCTAGGATGGCAATGCATGGCCTAGTGTGGCTGTCCCATCTGGAGAACTCATCACAAGAACAACTAAACGTGACTGGTTCTGTGCAGCACAACAGAGCCCTGGGTCAGAACAGCGGCTGCGCAGAGAATGAATCTACTAACTCAGCTTTAGAGGCACTAACTACACGTGTGAAGCGTAAACCATTACTCGACTTAAAATCACCTCTCTTTGTTGCTGCCAAGTCCCACCCAGACTTCTTGTGTGGTTCTGGGGTCAGTAACACTAAAGCGATGGTAAGAAATGCAGCTCCACACTGGGGCTCTGCTGTAAGGCCATTCCCAGGTCCACACTGAACTCAGTGCAGCTCCTGAGAAATATGGCAGCTCTGCACGACACTGAATACTGACCTAGTGGCCATACCCCAAGGTATGTACGCAGCAGAGACCAACTCAAAGGGCAGACCTAACCTGGGCCTTGACTAAGTGCTGAAATGCTATACCCCTCTACTCTCAACAGGCCTGGGGGACAGAAGACCTGGCATGGCTACACTCTCTAGGAACATCCTGCTGGCTTCTGCGAGTGGAAGGGGAGCAACTCATTTGCCCACATATAACCTAGGTTCTTTCCTAACAAGGGCATCATGTACAGCTATAAATGACAGTTTAGCAATCAAACATCCCACCAGACCACGTGGCCCACAGGCAGCCTACCTGCGACTGGCGCACAAAGATGCCGTGATTCTCCTCGCAGGTGAAGTACTTCCTGCCCTGCACGCTGCCATCATTCTTGCCCTTAGCTTCATCCAAGATGACTCCAACCCACTTTCCAGTGGCAAACAAAGTGGCCCCAACATAAGCCACTGTTCCACGGTACCCCTTTCCAATGACTTCGACTCTGGAGCCCACTTTCAGGGGCTTGCCACTTGCTTCCACACTCATCCTGGTTCCAGTGCTTGATGCCTACAGAGACAGAAGGAGACAATAGGATTAGCAAGTTGATATACAAAGCTACTGTAAAATGGCAAGAGAAATGGTTTAGGGGGCTGAGCTCCCATTCTCCATGCGACTGCATGGAACAACAGGGCTTGATGCAATTTTAGCATCTTCCATTTGAGGGCTTGCTGCCAAGGCAAGTGGGAAGTAGGAAGTTGCTCAGGTGAACGGGCCAGTCCCCAGAAGTGTTATTCTTATTGTTCACTATTTTCAGGAGCAAAACTCACACACACAACCCACACCCACTATATCATATTTGGAAGGTCCACTGAGGCTTTGGAAGAGACTGACAGGAAGCCACAGGCATTAGGGGTGTCACCCCAAACACCTGGCACTGTTCAGCTTCTATCACCTCTGCAAGTACAAGGTGACTGTTTCAGAGGCTTTAACTGCAGCATTCCTGGGCAACAGCAAAAGGGACCCCTGCCATAAGGGCTGCTGAGCTCCTAAAGACCCCTCTCCAACAGCACTTTGCTTTCCTACACCTTTTCTAAGGGGAAAAAATGATCTCTCTAGGCTGAGAGTGAGAGCACCTATCTATCTCCACTGATTTATTAATGCACTCCAGAAGCAATCAGTGGGCCAGACCATCCAATTGCATTTCACCTGAACTCTACATCAGGATACAGAACAATCAGCAAATACAGGCCACATTAAACTCATGCTTTCGAGATAACACTCTCCTAAATGCACTGCAGCTTTTGAACTTGTCTTTTCAAGTGGTCTGTGTATTTAGGTACAATTAACCACAGTGAGAGGTTCACTTCTGGTGTAGAGGAGGGGAAAAGGCACCTTTATAGCAGATGCCTCCATTTGAAAGGAGGAAGTATAAAAACCGCCATTCCTCCATTTTTCTTTAAAAGCAAGCAAGCATTCCCAAAATCACTTGAAATCTCTGACAATGTATACCAGGACCTAAAGCTACTAAAACCTATTACAATCATTTACCTAAAAATGCTGCGTCAAATGAGTCTTCCTCAAAGTAATGCTTTTGTTTTTAATTAACTAGAGAAGCAGGAGGGAGCTGTCATTAACTTTTGAGGCCAACTCCAGCTTGATAAAGGTCACAATGTCATGTAGAGCACTGCCTGTATTTTCAGTCTTTAAAATGGAGCACGCGCTGGTATTTACACTGTCTAAATGTCAGTGCTTCCAGTTTCTGTATGCAGATAAGATCATGCTTAAATTACTTTTAGCTCTCAGTTTAAACAACAGGCACAGAGACTGTTTTCCATGCTTTAGGGTTGTTGGATGTAGCCATGTTGGTCTAAGGACATATGCAGACAAGATTCTTTGGGTAAATGTGATATCTTTTATTAGACCAACTAAATAGTTGGAAAAATTGTTCTCTGCAAGTTCCAAGGTACAAACACCCTTCTTCAAGCAGATGCTCCCTGTGCCTGAAGAAGGGTGTTTGTACCCAAAAGCTTGCAAAAAACATTTTTCCAACTATTTAGTTGGTCTTATAAAAGATACAACATTTACCCAAAGAATCTTGTCTTAGAATATATTTTCTACATTCAAAACTGAGAATCACAGAATCATACAAATGAAGGGCTGGAAGGGACCTCGAAAGATCAAGTCCAACCCCCTGCTCTGGGCAGGAATACTGCTGAGATCGAATGATCCCAGCAAGGTGTCTGTCCAGTCTCCTCTTGAAGACTTCCAAGGTTAGGGACTGCACCACCTCTGTGGGAAGTCTATTCCAGATCTCGGTCACCCGTACCGTAAAGAAGTCCTTCCTTACATCCAGCCTGAAACCATCCTCTGACAGTTTAGGGCCACTGCTCCTTGTCCTCCCCTGGGGTACCCTAGCAAACAGTTTTTCTCCCAGCTCCCAATATTCACCCCTTACATACTTACAGATGGCCACCAAGTCCCACCCCAGTCTCAGGTTGAACAGTCCCCGATCCCTTAATCTTTCCTCAGAAGGTTTGTCCTCCAGGCTCTTCATCATCCTTGTGGCCCTTCTCTGACCCTTGCAATATTCTCCACGTATATTTTTTTAAATGCGAGAGGAACTATCACTTCCTTAGCCCTGCTCGCAATGCATCAGCTAATGCATCCCAGTATGCTATGAGCTCTGTTGACTACAGCAATACACTGGCAGCTCCTGTTCATCCTGTGATCAACCATAACCCTGAGGTCCCTTTCAGCCATCGTGCTGACCAGGACATCTCCTCCTAACCTATATTCATGTCACTGGTTACTTCTCCCCAGATGAAGCACTCTGCATTTAACCTTACTGAACTGCATTTGGTTCTGCTCTGTCTACCTTTCCAGCTCGTGCAGGTCCAGTTGGATCCGCATCCTATCCCCTAGCATGACTGCTTTTCCCCATAGCTTGGTATTGTCTGCAAACTTGACCAGCATGCTGTCCACAGCCTCACCTAAATCATAGATAAAGATGCTGAACAGCATGGGGCCAAGAACTGAACCCTGAGGGAAACCACTGGCCACCTCCTGCCAAGATGCCACAGAAGCTGACTGGGGGCTGGGGGGAAAGGGGTAAAAGCAAAAAAGCCTGCTTTCTCCTTCCAATCTGTGAATAAAAGCCAGGCGGGAAAAGGACAAGATCTACGCATTCCAAACAGGACACCGGGCCTGGTTTCCCAAGGCACATTGGTACCCAACGATGCAGATAAGCGCATCTTTAGCTCCCAATTATCACAGTCCATCAATTTACCAATGACCTCTAATGCTTCTTAAGTATAAGAAAGAATTCCATTTCACAGGCAGAATAAATGAAGACACTCTGATACCCATTATCTTTAAGGCAGTTAAAATACTAAATTATTTTTAAGTGCTTTTATACATTGCAGCATTCATCCAAATATACCTGATAAATCCCTAGCAAAATATTGTTTAGCAAATAATCATTCATCAGTTTCTAATAAAATGGTACCAATTAAAAATCTTCATTAAAAAGTGCATTAAAGTGATGTAATTGCTTAAGCCAACAGTACCAGTACATCCCAGCACTGCTTTCTGCTACCCACCCTTGACGTCAAGGTTACATTTGGCTTGTACAATCACTGCCCCATACAGGTTTATAATGAGGGCCTGCTGGTAGAGTGAAGGCATCTTGCTACAGATCCAGAGACGTGACTTTGAGCCTTGCTGTGGATTCATACTTTAATTCACTCCCAGTTAACCCAGCCCCAAACTGATACCTGGACATCTGAGCTGAGAATCCAGAGGCAGCTGGACAGAAACCAGTATGCCTACACCATGCTAGCCTAAGGCCCTGCCAGGATTCGACGGATCTCTAACTATGGCCTTTGTTCTGCCAGTGAGTGAGAATGAACCCTTATAACACCAAGACAAAAGCAAGATTCAAGCCAATGATTTCAGTCAAGGTTTCCTGCTTGGGGATTTAAATGCCACTGCGATTTACATCCGTCTGCTTGTCTACTGGTTCAGTTCCTCTTCCAGCGGCCGTGGCCACCCCCATCTAGCTACGACCACCAGTTCTGCAAGATGTCACTTACTGAAAGCAGAATTCCAGCTCTATTAAACCCCCTGCCTGGTTGATAATGCTGCCATCATGTTTACCGGCTTCCACACAGTGTCTAGGACAGAGCAGAGTCTTAGGCATCTAGTAGCAATTTGATCAGAGAATTCATAATGCAATGGCTTACACACTGCTTCAGCTAATCCTTATCCCACATGGGTTATTCACAAAAATATTCTTTATTAAATAAGAAATGGCCATGGCAAGCAATGGAACGGATTACAATGGGAAATGCCTCCGTCCCCAACAGTTCCATAACCTGCAAGGTGTTGCAGACATATTTGATACTGCAGAGTCCACGTGACCTTCCCTCTAGCAGGGCGAAAGGCTTGTACCTGAAGCAGGCTTGCAGCTGACCCGAGGGCTCCTGGTCCACGCTGCACAGCACTTAGCCTTTCAGCCTGCATTCGCCAACAGAAACCGCACATCCCAGTTTAGGTCTATGCCTGCACCTGCTGGAGGAGGCTTCTCCAGCCACAAAACTGCTCAGCACGACCCACCCCAGCTAGGACACTAACAAGGCATGTAATGTATCATAACATGGCCCTGAATCCCGACAGGATCACGACAGCAGATTTCACAGCCCAAGCAAAGCCCCACTTCAGCCAGTCACGCTGCCTGAGGGCCCAGTTAGCAACGCCTCTGGCACCCTCAGCAGCCTTTGATTTTCTTAGCTGAAATCTGCAGCAGAAATGATGCAAAGCTACTAGTTCCTCCAAACTGGAAGCTGCAGTTAAAACAACCATCCTTCTGGAAGGACAGCGCAGCACACTGACAAGAGGTTCAGCTGAGGAGTTTGTGGTAAGCTCCTCTCCCCCCGACCCATGTGAAGATCCACAAAAAACAACAGGAGCGCAGACATAGAAATCACAGGAATTAAGGAGCCTGAAACCATCCTCTAACAGTTTATGGCCATTGCTCCTTGTCCTCCCCTGGGATGCTCCAACGAAGAGTTTTTCTCCCAGCTCCCAGTATTCACCCCTTACATACTCAGGGACAGTCACCAAGTCCCTCTCAGTCTTCTCTTCTCCAGGCTAAACAGTCCCAGATCCCTTAGTCTTTCCACATAAGGTTTGTCCTCCAGGCCCTTCAGCATTCTTGTGGCCCTTCTCTAGACCCTTGCAAGATTTGTTTGAAGTGCAGCGCCCAGAACTGGACAGTCCTGCAGCTGGGCTCTCACCAGCGCCGAGTAGAGAGGAACTATCACTCCCTTAGCCCTGCTCACAATGCATCGGCTAAGGCATCCCAGTATGCTATGAGCTCTGTTGACTACAGCATTGCACTGGCAGTGCATGTTCATCCTGTGATCAACCATAACCCCGAGGTCCCTTTCAGCCACCGTGCTGGCCAGGACATCTCCTCCTAACCTATATTCATGTCGCTGGACGTTAGCTATGCAGGTCAGCTGGTTCCACTAGATACAGTGGCAGGCTGGCAATCCTGCCAGAAGAGCAGAGCCTGGAAGGTAAAAGTGAAATAAAGGAATGTTATGAATCCTGGAGCACGCATCCTGGCTCCACTTGTACCAGGGAAAAGGGGCAAAGCAAGGTTCTCGCTTCACTCCTTCACTGTGATGCTCAAAGGGGAATTCGAACTCATGGTCCCCTCAGATGCAACGCTTTCCAACACAACACCCAAATCCTGACATGGGTGAATGGTGTGGCAAGAAAAACCAAGAGCAAGAAGAGCTCAGCAGCTGAAACCCAGGGAAACAATCTGAATGGAGGACAAATAGGACTGAAGTCAGGGCAAGGCAGATTATGGGAGCAGTGGGTTTGCTGCGTCAGAACAGGGCAAATGGTGAGCTGTGAAGGCTGGTGCCGGGAGAGATGTGTCAAGAGGCTGCCTGCCCTGGATGTGGAGTTTCTTCTGCTACAAATTCTCCGTGATGTTGAAGGAGGCCCCAGAAAGTTCCTCTCAGAAATCAAAACCTTTTCCTACTTCACCATATCAGTGATGTTGAGCCAGGTTTTACTGGGGCGATTCTGCAACATCCCTGGGAGTTGCTATGAGCTCTCACATCCTCACTGTAGTGGGAACAGTGGGTCTTTGCTCTCCAAAGGACTGGGCACTGGAGCAAAGCAGGCATTAATGAAAACAAGAAAGCCCAGTCTGTTTGGCAATCTGATTAAGAGCCCAATCCCAGTCGCCTGTGGGATCACATTGCAGTAGCTGGCTAATCACCTGAACCTCTGCTGGGAACAAGAATATAGTTTTTCCTTTCTTTAAGCCACATAAAATCCTTTCAAGCCCAATTTACAAATGCAAGGAGGGGCGAGTAAAAAAGTAGGCCGTGTGCTCTCTGCAATGCATCTAGAAACCAGCAGCAACCTCTGTGCCTCGCTCACAGAGGCTAGACCCTCACCCTCAGGTTTCCTGGAAACTGCAGTTTCACTTGAAACAGGCTTAGACGTCCCTTTGTGCCACACTCCCTTCCAGCCCTTTCAGTAGAGGAGAGGGCAGCTCATCCAGAGGAAAGAAAAGGCCTGTTCCCAAGCTGAATAATTACTCCTATGACTGCAGCTACCCAATCAGCTAATAGTGTGTCGAGACATTAATCACAGACTGTGCCGACAAGGAACTTGTAAGACTTTGCATAGGTGAATAGCTTTGTATTCTGGCCCCGAGTGTGTCTGCATCACATCCAAACAGCTGGGAAAACCAAGTCTCCGGATCAGAATTAAAAGCCTCGGGAAGTTTCCTGACCATGCTAAGGAAAACAAACAGACTGGCAGCCGGAGCCCTTCTCTGTGCTCTTACCACAGATGAGGCAGTAACCCATCACTTGTACCTGACACCCGGCCAGGCTCGTCGCAGGCAGGCTGGAAGCAGAGAGATGAGCCAGGGCATTCCAGCTTCCAGAATGGGCACTGTTAAAACTCCTCTTCCAGCATTTCTCCCCTACCTATCTCTTCATCTATGCAAAGTACCTGCAGACTGCTTTTAACGTGGCACTACCTTATTAAGAACAGCTTCTTGGGAGTCTTAAAATACAACTCCATCAAGAGGTCTGAGGGAAGATGCTCCCTTTTCTGTGCACTAGATCCAGACTATGGACAGATTCCCCCTGCCCTTTTATTTTGGAAACACTTCCATGAGACCCTATCTTTCCAAGTAGGTTGCTGGTATATGATGGTATGTGCAGCACCTGCATGCTACATGGTTTCTGCAGACCTGCAAATTAAGATGGACTAGATGATTTAAGAGAGGAGAACTGGATGAGGTAATAGCTTTTCCCTGCCATCTCTCCCTTCTCAGGCAAAGCGATAAGCTCACAAAAGCTTCAAACCTGTAACTGCTACGACAGTAAACTTTACTGGCTTTGCTGAACAAGCCTAGGTATTCTGTAACCAGGAAACCCCGCGCTCCCCCTGACTTCAGACAAGTCCAACTACCTACCTACTCATTCCACTACAGCTCCTGAAACGTGAATGCTGACATTGTGGGGCCTCCAAAAGTCAATTAATCCTCAAGAGCATGTAGCCCAGTGGGCCTGGCTAGTACAACCGAGGGCAGAGGCTGATCTTCCACCTCTCCAGTAAAAAAGGGGCAACGTTTGCATAATTCACAGGGAGGTTGCGAGGCTTAATTACAATGTGTGCAGAACTGTAACACTGCTAAGAAGTCTTCAATGCCAGGCTCCACGATGGCCGCGCTTGATCAGTTAGAAGGCAAGTTTGTTTCTAGCCCTGTCCCATCTCCTTTCTTTCAGTGCCACTTCCTTGCCTACCCAATGCCTTCCCAGCAGAAGCCTTACTGGAAAAACCAGGGAACTGGCCCAAGGTTGAAGGACCATGTTGTTCTCCCTGTAGAAGTGTTATATCCCACTCACCTCCCCCAAACCATTCAAATACATCCCTGTTGCAAATCAGGGGTGCGACTGCAGTGCACTCAGGCTATATCTAACTAGCTCGAGGATGAATATGAGCAAAGACACCATGGTGCAGGTGTCAGCACAGGCTGCATAAGCTGAGACCTCGGATGCTTCCACAGGCAGCCTGCCCCTGCCACAGGGAGATGCAAGTTGCCCTGGGCGCTCCCAAGCATGCTGCAGCCACACCTCCAGCTATAAGGTGGGCACGCTCTCTCTCTGCCCACCTGTTTAGATTTTAGAGCAGAGGTTCTCATTTGGGGTGTTGTAAGAACCAGCCAGGAGGGCCACAGTGCCAGCAGGGTGAAACTCCCTGTGCATCTCCATTTTCAGTTGGCACATGGGAGCCGAACTGGGCAGAGGCAAAAACAGCGCACCAGTCTGCATAACGTCACGTCTCCAGATGCTATTATTTCTTAACATCGATTCACAGAGAAACATTTCTTTTGAATCAGGAAGGCAGCAGACTGGAGACTGGTTTAAAAATTGATGGCACTCCCAGAGAGCCACGTGTCACAGAAACTGCAAGTTGCTGCTTTAAAATAGGCTTTTTGAATATTAGCTGTTTTCAAATACAGCTGGGTAACAGCAAGAAATGGAAGTGTTCGGGATGGGACCCTGGCCAAGACGGGTCTGCTGCTCTCTGCATGTTCCAAAGGGCTCCTTTTTTTGAACAGGCCTTGGCACAGTTTACCAATGCTGAAGAAGAAGAGTTGCACTCAAATGCAGATGCTCCCCTCCCCATGCTAATCCTGACACTGAAACGGGGACTTCATCTACTATTATTGTCAGACTGTAGCTTCTGGACTCCTATGAGACAACCACTACATGGTGCAAAACCTATATGACGGCAGTGGCTGCATTTTTACAAAGCAGAATCTGCAAGCCCACCCACTGCATCCATACCCCAGAAGGAGCTTCCCTACTTGCAAGCATCTGAGAAACCCACTTGCAGAGGGTCACTTAACATCTTTCTTGGTTTCCACCGACAGTGGAAGGGCACCGAGCAGTCTCGTAAAAAATAGAATTCTCTACAAGTCAGACTAGAGCTTCTGAGGGGACTTACAGACTCCAGTCCTATTGCTAAAATGAGGCAAGAAAGACGCTGGGGAAAGTAAAGTTCAAGGCCAGTCTGATGCCTGCATCCCAGTCTGCTTTCTGCCACAGAAGACCGAGCCTCAACTAAAGCCCCTTGGAGGATAAGAAAACAGATGCAAGAAACAGGAGACATACAGCTCGGGCTTTCAGAGGGCTCACAAGAAATAGCCCAAATCTGGTGTGCCCAGTGACAGGCAAGGAACTGCCACCAAAAGCTGTTTAAACAACAGGAAACAAAAAACTGGAACTGCTGGTCAGGTCTCGGCACGCAAAGCTTGACCATCAAGTCTGACTCTGTCACAGCAGAAATGCACCTGCGCTGATCGGAAAATGCCACGGCTTTGAGTCCCAAAGCTGACAGAGCTATTACAGCTGCATGTCAAGCAGCTCGGGGGCAGGAACAGACCTGTCAGTCATTGCTGGTAGGAAAGCGCTTCGCTGGCCAACTGGGAG